ACGCTACGGCCAGGCACATTCACACAAAACGAATACAAAATCTAGTGTGAATACATACAAGCAATAATTTTTTCTGTGAATTTTCTAAACATTGAGACAAAATGAATTTACACCGAGAAAGGTTTTGAAAGATAAATCAACCGTATGCTTTAATGTAAATTAACACGATAGAAAAGTTTTTAAAGAAAATGTATATATAACCTAATATTTAGTGTAAACTTATCATAGTGGAAAATTCACACGAAGGTGGTAGGCTGCCCCTAAGGTCTAATGTGACTTTTCTTACAATCTAATGTGAATTAACACGATAAAAAATTTTTTAAAAAAATGTAAATGCAACCGAATATTTAGCGTAAATTTATCATAGCGGAAAATTCACACGAAGGTGGTAGGCTGCTCCTAAGATCTAATGTGAATTTTTTTAACAGTGTAAAGACTTACTACAATATGAACTGTCAGTTTTAAGAGCGTCAATTAATGGTCTAAAAACACCGTCACTGGAGTCCAAATGGACCAAATGGAGTCTATATGGTATACAGCAAAAGGATTTAGACCGTTTTCTATCGGTGAAAAAACGGTCCGTTAACGAGACGTTTACTATCCGTTAATCGGCAGTTAAACAGCTTTTATGGACCTGGGTTTTGGAAGTATCTTGCTGGAAGAGCAATTTCTCCGGTATAATAGAGTAGTCTCGAAGGTACGCTAGTACCAACGAGAACTAATGTTGTTTTTAACGCTATGCGCCCCATATTTATGTCTGACGTAGCCGAACAAGCGAAATGACTATCTCTAATCTTCATACCTGAGTAAAAATCTTTGTTTTATGATACTTAAATAATTGACGTAGAAACAGTTGAAATATCGTCACTACACAATGTTAAATTGGTTTATCTATGAGCAAATAAGAATAATATATAAAAGAAAAGAAAAGCAAGTAAATCGATCCATTCTTGAAACTACTAGGAAGACAGGTCAAAAGAGAGAAATAATGCATAATAATAGTAAAAATCTACAAACACAAATATAATAGCTGTGCCACTTCAACAAATTCACATGCTAATGTTACTGTCTCTTCTGAGATTTAACTGTACAGTCATCCTTCTTTTGGAGGACCGCAAAAGACTGGAATGCTAAAGATCTAGAAAACGTTGTTTTCAAAAACTTTAAAAAGGCTTTAAAAGAACATCTTCATTAAGCCGACCGAGTGAAACTCAGAGAGACTTATTCTGTTTCACTAAACTCTTCCCCCCATAATAGAAGCCTCCCCCATATTAGAAGCCCCCTCTGGAGGAATCGATGTGGAAGGTGTATTAGAAGCCCAAGGGCTTCTATTACGTCGGAAAAATAATTTAAATTTTTTTAACGACACATCTGATCGACACGCGTTTTTTTACTTTAATTGTTCTTGTGTGATGTCGTGTGTAAAAGAAGGAAACGAATAAAATTTACATTTTTTATCTCGAAAAAGATTTTTTGTTTTGGTGTTACAAAAAATTCTTCTTTAAGTCGACTGAGTGAAACTCAAGGGGACTTATTGCTTTTCACCCAGAAAAATTCTTCTTTTTTTCCACACTGTGTTTTCTTCCTCGAGTCAGACAGTCGTTCTCAGTTATTTCTGATCGTACAGGTTTGCGAAAAAGATGATTCGAAAGTGCAGGAATTGTGGATGACACATCTGAAGTTAGTTGTCGGATATTCGCTTTCGTTATCGTATAATTTGTGTCACAAAATCGGTATATATTTCAGACAACTCTACCGTTTCTGCTGTGAGATAATTAATTGTCACGTGATTCACTTCATAGTGAATATATGCTACAGTACTGAGTATGATGAAAGCTATACTATAGTAGAACATATGACACGATAATGAATCAGCTGATATAGGAATATAGGAATTCTTCTTGAAAAATAGTGAAACTGTCATGAGTTTGTGAATGTTCTAATTCTGTCTATTTACCGTTTCACTCAGTCGACTTTCCAATCTATGCGCAACGTAGTTGGTCTCTAGTTCTTTCTTCTTTCTTCCACACTCTACTTTCTGCTTCGAGTCAGCCACCCGTTCTTAGCTATCGCTAATCGTACAGATTTGGGAAAAAGATCATTAGAGAGTGCAAGAGGGGTAGATGAAACAGCCGAGCTTATTTTTGCGATATATATTTTAGTTATTAAGTAATCAGTCCCAAAAGTTCAGTATATTTTTAATAACTTTTCTCTGAGATAATTAATTGTCATGTGACACTTCATATACATTTAGTATAAATAGTGTAGAGTGATTCACTAAGTAGTCACGTGCTACTTATCAGTCTACACTTCTGTATAGTTTGATGCATTTATAGTCTGAAACATTATTACCGATAGAATGCAGCATATATTTACTACTAGAGCACTATAGTGTTCTAATCGCATTTAAGGGATTCAAGCAGTGTCTAAAGTGTTTCTGAGATATGTTTCACTCGGTCGGGTTTCCAATCTGCCCGTAGGGCAGTTGGCATCTAGTCTTTAATTTCTTCTCTATTTTCAAATCTTTATTTTTCTTCATTTGTAAGCAAAATGAGTGTAAGTCGGCGGAGGAACAATTCTGTGACAACTTAAAGTGTAATTTGTATGTAATGCACTCATCTTGTCTCATAAATTAATTATATATATGAAAACCATTTCTCTCACTATTTTTCATTTTTACTATTTTTAGTTAATAGTCATGTTAGGCAGAAACTTAGAATTGAATGTTTATTTTTTCTGTTACAAGTCATACTTTCGTGTGAGCTTTTTTTCATGTACCATGATCTATTACTAAAATAAAACGAAAGAAAGAAAGAAAGAAGTAAAAATCTACAAACACAAATATAATAGCTGTGCCACTTTAACAAAGTTACATGCTACTGTTAACGTCTGCCCTAGTGAATGTACTTTGAGCCAAATATTTGCGCAAGTACGTGGGTTAAGTACGTGAGGACAGTACTTGTGGACTTTTCAAAGTAAATTTACTTGTAAAGCACTTGGAAAAGTACTTGACAAGTAAAATGTAAATACTTGGCTGACACAATGCAGGTAAATAATTTACCTGAAAAAAATTCAGGCAAATACTTGTTCCCTTTATTTTTATTTTGTATTTTATACCCACATTTTGGAGCTATACTCTACACTTTCGTAGACTAAATACATGCACGACTACTAAGTTTGTTCAATTCAGTAGAAATATATGTTTCTTTTATAAGTGTATAACGATTGATATTGTAGTGTTTATCTATAAGTGATCAATGCAAAGAAAAGGGTATGTGGCTGACTGGTTCAGTACTTGGCTGAAGCAAGTCAAGTAACGAAACTTGGCGAGTTCTTGCTCAAGTACTTGCCAGGTACTTAACCTGTCACGTAATTCCAAAGTACTGACCCTAGTCGAGACTCCCGACAAACTCCCACGAACTCCTGGGGAAGTCAGGTGGGACTTTCAAAGGACTACATCTACATTGTCTCAAGGGAGTTCTCAGGAGTCTCTTGAAAGTCCCACCTGACTCCCGCAGGACTCTGTGACAGAAGTCCCGTGGGAGTTTTCTCGGGAGTCTCGACTAGGGCATCAAATAATCAAGTACTTGTGCCAAGTACATTCATTATGGTGAAAACTCTCATTTCATTAACCGTAAGGTCGCCAGATACATACGATATATAGATTATCCATAGTAATACTATACGGTACTTTTTACGTTTGAGTATAGGATACGATTGTGGTTGTGTTTTGAGCGCATTTAAATGCCAAGAATTTTTTGCTGCCGTTTAAACGTTGACTTTACATCTTCCCGTTTAACTTCCACAATCCTTTTTTGTCCGGTTAAACGCAAATGATTGATTTTGCCCCACTGTTTTTGTTTAAACTACATTTAATGACGTTTTTTCTCAAATAAAGATTTAAAACTGTTTAAGTTTTCATTTTTCTGGAAAAAGGCAATCATATCCTGCACTTAAACGCAAAAAGTACTGCAATGGATATTAAGTTAAAATAATCAATACCAAAAGCATGATCTTCCGGAGGTAATTTCCTTCAAATAAAAAAGCAATATATAATCTCTGAGAGGTTATATGTTGCTTTTTTATTTGTGTTTTTCGAGCCAATGGAGGTTAGTCGAAATATTAAGAAAGAAGTTAACCTAATTAAACTTTGTCTTTTTCGTTCTTTACCTGATTAGTCTGTTACGTAGATTTATATATTATTCGTACTTGAGGATACGTATGTGCATCAATAAACTGCGTTTTTTCATCAAAGAACAAATCACGAAGCAAAAGACTTCTTTTTATAGCTCACACACTCAATTCAAGAAAATCAATTATTTAACTCATATTTGTCGTAAAAACTGTCGCAAATCACATGTTTTTTTATATTACAGATCAACATGCAAACAGAAACGATGGTGATTTATGATACTGTAGAAGAATCGAAGGAGAACAGGTACGAAAATAGTTAGACTATCACATATCAGTAATGAAATTTTGGAAGGACGTGATGATTATCAGTGAAAAGTTAATGTTCCAGAAAAACTCTTGAAAAGCCTATTAGGCAAGTTTAAGCAAAAATAAGTTTTAAAAACGCAGTTTAAACAAAAACTGTCGGGCAAAATCAATTATTTGCGTTTAACCGGAGAAAAAGGATTGTAGAAGTTTAAACGGGAAGACGTAAAGTCAACGTTTAAGCGGCAACAAAGAATTGTTGGCATTTAAATGCGCTCAGATAACAAGCATAATCGTATCCTACACTCAAACGCAAAAAAAATACGTTTCCTATATATTAGCCCTAGTAAAAATCTCAGTATATCAGATGGTTCTACGCAATACCACAAAAAAGTTTTAGAAAAAGAGGTGTGATGTACTCTAAAAGGATGATAGACCACTTGTTTCTGAACTTTATGATACCCATAGAATGGTGCATTGTAGAATGTTCTCACTTGGTTGTGTTGTATTTTCTTATTCACAAAATCTAGTGGACCTTTTTAGCATCATCTGAGACCAACGGTAAGTTGATTTCATCTTTAGCCAAAGATAAGCTTGAAACTAACGGCTGAAACTGATACAACAAGTCCAGATTTTCAGAATTATAGCAGCCGAAAATCTGTTTGAAAAGTTTGCCCATTAGTTCGTCTAATATTAACAACAAGTCTAACCTATGAGATTTTTTTTCCTGTCCAAACGCGTGTAAACAACAAAATAATGGAAATGCATTTTTTAGCCGTTAATACGATATACGAAACGCGTTTCAAGCATCGATTGAACGCGTTTTTAGTATTTTGTCGTTTACACGCGTTTGGACACCGTTTCAAACGAAAAAAATCTCATGGAGAAAACTCGAACCGTTTATTATTTGATTTAGTGATACATAAAATGTATCCATATTGTATTTCAGTGCTTTTCTTCCACGAACAACTAGTAAGTTAATTGTGATTGTTGTTGTTGTGTATCAACTTTCAAATGAGCGCGGAAAATGTCGATATTTTTTATTTAATTATTCAAATATTTCATTTATGCTTGTACCCTAAAATGAATTTTTTGTGCATATTTGCTCTGTAGACAATGCTTTTTGAACGTACGCAATATGAATTTTCACTAGTTGTTTGATCTACGTTTATGTTTTATTTGCTTGCTTCTATGTAATAATGGACTTTTTCCTTATTTTTTCCACTGTATACAAGTTGGCTATCGACCTATCAAGAGGAATAAAATTGAAAATAAATGATTCATAGCATCCAGTCTCATTGAGCGTCAGCATATAAACCGAAAAACAAAAAGAATTTTGCATTCATTTTAGTTTTTGATTTATTTACTCAAGTACAAAAACAGTTTGTTAAACGAATATTATCTGACTTTCAATAATATTTATTCTCATAACTTATTCTTCACAGTTGGTTATTGTTTTGTTTTAATGAACCGAAAATTAGACACAGTTCGTATACAGTATGCTGATTTGTTTTATTGCTCTTAACAGGCTATCTACCTCTATTAATAGTAAGCTCTGATTAGTTATACAAATATAAATGACAGAATGAGAATGATGTTATCTAACAAGAATCAAATCAAATGTATCAGGATAATAATTAAAAAATAGCAAGCACAATGATAGAAAGAATGTTTAAAGAAATTTTTTTTGATAACAGATAGCGTTTACTTGTGGCACTTATCAGTGTATATCTTTTGTTCGTAGATGAGATAGAATCAGTTAAATTGTAATTTAGGACTAATCTTTACTACTGGATTCTCAAGCCATATCAAAAATTTCATTCTTTGACCATCTGTGAGTAGAATCTTTTCCTTTCATTATTTCTATAATAAACTTTCATTTCTTTTCATAGTACAAGATCCTATAATTGTAGATTATCATAATTGTAGATTTAGTTATTTTTTTGTAGTTGTTTGTTTGTCTAACTTAACGCATGTTTATTGCATCGAAAAAACTAAAACCTATATTTAGTTATTTTTATAATCGTTTATACTTCAGTATAAATAACTTTAGTATTTAACATTAGAAAAAAAAAATCTAGTCTTTCAAATCTTCTTAGATATTCTTATTTTTTTGTTTTCTTCTTCTTTTCAGCAAATGATCATATTTCATCTAGTCCGTCACATCGTCGACAAGTCAATGATGGTAATCATAGATCCTTACAAAATTCTGACTTAAATAATGAAAATGATTTTTCAAATATTGAACAACGAGAAAAAAATTCAGCGGATATTATTTCTATGGAAGAATTGGTACCAAATACTGGGGAAATATCAAGAAGTAAAAAAATTGTAGAAACGTTAGAAATTTACTAATAATTTATTAAGTGCTATTTGTTCAGATGATCCACCAATCTTAAGTGATATATCTGCTCGTAGACGTGGACATCGTGCTGAAGACAAAGCACTATCAAAAAAAGTTAGGTTTGTGATAAACAATATTTTCCAATAACCATTATTATTAATTTACATTTTGTTCTTTTATTTCTAGGAGTTTTTATAAAAAGCAAGATAATGTAATATCATCATTTGAACAAGCCGAACATTTTAGTGACAAAAATAATGATGATGAAAATGGAAAAGAAAAATCTAGAAATACATTAAAACATAATAGAAAATATGTTAGTTATCTAACGAAATTATCACTGGCTGTTAATATTGTAAGAATTTAAATATTACTTTACTAGTAAACTGTATAGTATCTGTATCTCTTATTAAGTCTTTACTAATGGCAAAACTCACTGCTGCTATTATGTCAAAGTCATTATCTGTTATTTCAAGTGTAGTAGATTCGGTAGTAGATTTAGCATCTTCAGTTATTTTATTTTGGGCAACACGAGCTATCAAAAGACGTGATCCATTTCAATATCCACAAGGACGGACAAGATTAGAACCAATAGCAATCGTCATATTATCTATTATTATGTGTTTGACTTCCGTACAAGTGATACGAGAATCAGCAGGAACTATGGTAACTGATATTTCAAGTCTTAAAAAAAATTCAACATCCAATACAGGACTCCACGAAATATTAATGACCCCAATTCCGATTGCAATAATGTGTGCAACAATTTGTAAGAATATCATTGATTTTTGTAAATTAAACTGTACTACAAAAAAAAATGTTCTACTCTCGTTTCAGTGTCAAAACTCATATTATTTATCTTATGCAGGCGTGTAGCGAATCCAACGTTAAATGCTTTAGGACAAGATCATCGGAACGATGTATTTTCAAATATAATTGCACTAGTATGCGGTCTAGTGGGTAAGTTAATCAGTGTTGGTTCTATATAACTAAGAATATCCTATAACGTTTTTCGAGTTTATGGGCAAAGTTAAGAATAAAAATTTTAAAACCAATGCGGCTATCATGTTAAGAATTTTAATAAAAAGTTTTAATAAAATAATAAAAAATTACGAGATTATGATATATGGAGAATATTGTCACTTGTATATTTTATTTTCTATGTAAAGAATAGGTTGAAATTGAAACATATTCTGTTCTTGGTACTGCCAATTAAAACCGGAGCCTCTGTTCTTAAAACAAACAGTTCTTTTTTTTTAAATCTCTCACTTATTTTTTTCGAATAGATGCAGCAATATGCTTCTTCGCTTTTATTGACACATTGAAAATGTTATTTCTCAAAGAAACGAAAAAATGTTTTATATGCGTTTGAAATCGACGACAATTGATGAGCGTGATTCAAAATCGATGCAAAATGAATTATTTTGCTAAGATGTTAGGAGAAGAAGATAAATTCATTATTCTTTCTTTTTTTCTGATATCAAGATTCACAATGTAATATTTAGTAGACAAGCATCTGCCAACAAATTGATGATAATCTATTGAATATTCTGTAACAACATATGAACAATTGAAATGGAAGAAAACGCAAAAAGAATGAACTTAATACTTTTTCATTCTGCTTGAACGATTAATTTTTTTCTTTTGATTTGTTTCTATTTCAAAATCAAAACTGTATTTCTAGAACCGTGAACCGAAAGTTTTAATACACAACAGGAAATTTTAGTCTTTCTCTCTCTGTCTCGTTAAGGTTCTCATGCATATAAGACGGTATCTATTCATGCACTTATTTTAACCGATCCTATTGGCGCAATTATCATATCTCTTTTCATTTTGGTTAGCTGGTGGCGACAAGCGAAGCGTAAGTACCATATAAAACGTGTTTCTTATTACTTTATTGTGAGTTTGTTCTTACATCTAGAACAAGTACAACGGCTAAGTGGTCATACAGCTAAACCGGAATTTCTTCAACAAATAACGTGGATTGCATTTAATCATTCACCTTTAATAACAAAAATTGATACTGTACGAGCATTTTATTTTGGAACTTATTTTCTTGTTGAGGTAAAGTAATTATTCACTCTTAATTATGTTAAACAAAGTTAAGGATATTTCAGCCGCAATTGCACTAAAATTCGTATTTAGAAGAAATATTTGTGAGAAAAATGTTTGATGTTAAAAATGCGAAAATACTTTAAAAATCCTTGTTCTGACAGACCCAAGCCATTGTTCTCTTTTAATTCGAAACAACCTGAAAGTTTCCATTGTTCAACTTATCAGTCATACCATTTTGTTCAGATTTAAATTCTACATATGAGGGCTTGAGAATAAAGGTTTCATAGACCAAGTCTGGCTTTGGAAAACATGCTTTTTCAAAATGCATCCAAAAATACCACTAGATGTTAGTTTTGAGCCTATTTTTCCTGAAAGATAGCATCAGGAACCTAGAAAAACTCGTGGAAGCATAGAACACAAAATTCTCTATCTATTGACTTTACTTTTACTATTGGACTTGATGAACATAGACTTGCATAAATCGATAGATGTCTAGAGAAAACAAGGATATCACAGTTGGACGATTGAGTAGGTGTTCATCTTTTAAATTTTGCGCCGACAAGAAAACTTTATTTGAAAAACAAAGTCGACAGTTTTGTAGAGCAATGAATTCGCTATGGAATTCGCTCAAAAGCCGGTTTTAAAGGCGAATACCATGTTTGTTATGTACTAAAAAGTGAATTTCTCTCTGTTTAGGTCGACATTGTTTTACCAGAAACAATGTCCTTGAAAGAAGCGCATGATATTGGCGAAGATTTACAAAAGAAAATTGAGAGCGTTCCGGAAGTTGAACGAGTAAGTTATATTAGTATAATGTAAAATTATGTTTTCTGAGAATTATCTGTTTGTTTTTATAGGCATTTGTTCATTTGGACTATGAATTTAATCACAAAGCATCAGATGAACATAAGATTGTTTGAAAGACTCAACTATTTTTGTATGTGTAGAAATAGATTAGGAATATTAAAATCATTTATTGTTAACTCATTTAAATATGAAAATATTGAATCCGTGAAATCTACAATCGTTTTATTAACATAAAATAGAACCTAAGATCATGATTAGTACCTACAAATAATAACACAATCGTATATATATGTATACATACTCAATTTTTCTTTTCTTTATTTGTCTTTCTCGTCCTACGATGTGTTGAGTCCTGTTGCTACTGATGATCTTAGTGTAGATCGAAACCTTCTATTTTATGTTAATAAAATAATTTGTCTTTTGATACATTTAACCTTTTCATAGATTGAGAAAAATCACATTTTTCTGATTTTATTAATCTCTCAAAACAACAACAACAACAACAACAACACTGATTTAATTGTATTCTTAGAAAATGATTCTTCTATACCTTTGAAGTTACTATAATCTCATACATTTATTGTTGAAGGTATATATGTGTAGTGTTATATTAGTTAGAAAAAATTTCCCGGTGTTGTTGTGTAATAATGTCTCGACACCAAATATATTCTGTAATTGATATTTTAGTATTAAAAAAAGATTTTACATTACATCATTTATTGAAACGGATAAAATAAGAATTATATGTTGAATGAGTCTAGGATATATTCGTATATCTAGTATTGTGTCTGATCTGTAGTTTTCTCGTTACCATTAATATTTGAATATTGCAGAAATACTCCATGAGATATTGTAAAGAAAAGAAAAATCATATTTGATTTCAGATAATAAGTGTTATTTCTTATTAAACTATAATTCTAAGAATGTCACTCTGCTGTTAATATTGTTATGAAAACTATTTTCTTTGTCTAATCTAGTCTTGTAGTTCTAATCTTGCATGTAGTTTAGAAGTATCTCATTTTATTGTGATGACTGAAAAAAGAATGTTTTCTCTGAAACTTCGTGCAATTATAGCTATCGCGTATGATAACATGATATGAAAACAACAGACTTATTAGATAAACATTCAGTTTTATTCTTTTGCTTATTCAACCAGTGGCGAGTCAGCCCAACATTTTCAGGAGGAGAGGAAGGGTAATAAAAAATTTTTGTTTATGTACATTGCAATTTTGTTTCATCTCAGATAAGTCTACTGTTTGTTGAATTTTTTTCGATAAAAAATTCTAATTAAAAAAAGGTCAATATTTCTATAGATGGGGTGATAATCTTAATACCAAGGTTGGGCAATAAAATATTATTGTCCCTCTTCGTCCACAGGCTGGCCCGCCGCTGTATTCAGCTGTGACTCGGTTTACCAGTCAAATTAAAATGTTGAAAATATTAATCGAATGAGTTTAAAGTGTAAGTCTACATTTTTTTAAATCTTTTCTTGATACAAGTCGTATACAACCATTTACTATAAAAACACAAGTATCGATATTATACAAGCGTCACTTTAATTGCACGGAGAGTTATTAGTTTCTTTCAGAATATATGATAACACCATGCTTTGTATTATTGCTTGCACTTTAGTGGAAATGATCTATCTGTAAACTTTTTGTACGACCATATGACCACGGTGATGAGCATGTATAAAAGTCAACTTTTATAAGTGGTCATTTTTTGGCTACATTTATAATCACTAATAGATCCCTTAAGTGTTTCGGTTTATAGGCTCCTCTCATCAAAATAACGGTGTGATTCTACTAGAAATTTTAATTCAAAAATGAGATTTTCTACTGTCAGAAAAAGTGAATTAGTCAATTGTTTTTTGTAATTACTACTAACTATATCAGTTAAAACTACGTCACATTTTATTTTGAAGAGTAAAATAAGATTATTACTCTCTTAAAAAATCTTCGATGTTTTAAATTAACTTAGTTTCTTTAAAAAAGATTTGGAAATTAATGTAGTTTTAAGAACTTAATTTTTTCTTCAACATTGTACAACTCTAAGTGTTTGAACAATCAGGTTGCCATCGTTTGGTAACTAAAAAGTTAAGAAAACATCTTGCATGTAGAATAATGATTATTTTCAATCAGTTGTTATTCAATCTAATTAGAGAAATAGTTCACATGTTTTCAGAAACATGACCCAAAGTGATGCATTAATAAACCAATGGCATCAATACATATGCTTTACTTTTACAAGGTTTCTGGATTTATTTTTGATAAAATCTGATAGATAAAAAAACATGACAGAGTACTCTGGAATCAATTATAAGAGTGAGGCATATATCACTAAGGCTTATGGAGTATTTAAAATTTTATCAGCTGAAATGAATAAATAATCATAGAGTACTTTTCACGTTGATTATAAGACTTTACATTAGTATTAGTACATCAGTGAATTTTAAAAAAGAGCTCATAATAATGCGTTTATGGCAACTGTTATTGTTTTTGATTTGTATGAAAAATTCATGTAAGCAAATATCTATTGAGAATTGTAGGCGATATTATAGTGCTGATGTATGTTTCACACTATTTCAGCTAATACTACTACTGTCCGGGTAAAAAACAAAGGTGGCTATATTGCAAGATTTTTTGTTGATTTTGATACACCTTTAGTATTTTGGAACACATATTCAACCGATTCATTTGCGTTGAAAAGCACAAGAGAATTTGTTTTACCTTTCACTGCCAATAATACGCGTATACGCATAGAAAATCTAGTTTATTATCCATGGTATTGGAAAGAAATTACTCGTCATGCATTTCAGAATGATATGAAAGGAGGTGATGTAATATGTATTGATATATGGGGGAGTACCTTACAACCCCGTTGGTCATTTGTTATATGTTAGAATTTTTTTAAAACTAATAAAGAAGCATAAGATGAACCTCGATATCAGACCTCCCTATTATCATAAAGGATTTATTTTTAATTGATTTAGAGTAGTAGAAAAAACAATCACTGAAAAATTTGTCCTATATTTAATTTGCATAAATATTCTTTAATCTATATTATACCAGAAAAATTACCTTCTCGATGCCTCCTCTTCCTTCAACCCATTAGGACGCATATCAGAAAGTATCTTCATTTCTTGTTTCGTATTTATGAATCAGTTTAAAAGTTTAACTTTGTTCTTGTTGCTCTGTTGTATTAAATATAAATACGAGTATGACCTTTCTTCCTTCAAAAAAATTCGCCTAAGGATGATTTCTTTAGATTTTTTAATGTTTCATCGTCTTTCATGTTTCTAATGTTTTCCAAAACATATGACAAAAATATCTAGTACTCCATGTCAACTTTCACACTGAACTCTTGGCGAGACTCACGCCAAAAAGTCGTGCCCCGCGATCGCGATTTTGTTGCGGCGGATCTTATCAGAACTCTTGGCATCGTGGCGCGATCCTGTAGAATTTAGGTGAACTCTTAGAATCAGACCATGATCCTAGCTCAATCGCTATTCGTACAGCAATTCTAGAGCAGAGGTGCTATTTTGCGGCACGACTCACAATAGTCGCGAAACGATTCTTTTTATTTTCAGAAATCCTCGGTTTGATAACTTTTCAGAAAGTCACGTTTCTTCACAATCGGGAAACTTGATGCAACAATTAAGTTTCAGAACAAAGAGTAAAATCATAGTTTCTTTCGTGCATTTATATAAGTTCAACTGCAAAATAAAAGGGTTCCGGGCCGTAACTCACATCGCGACCACGATTTTTCACATGTTTCACGAAGCGATTGTACGAGTTTTGTCACATCAGAATCACGTGTAGCGAGAGTTCTAAGACTCTTCTAGAATCGTGTCTAACTCTTATCGTGGAGTATGGCTAATATTTTTTGAAAAAAAATATGATTCTAGCATGGTCGCAATGTGACAGCACGAGCCCATAGCGATCACGGCTGCGACAGCGGGATCACGCCACGAGTTCAACGTGAAGGTAAGAAACTATTCGTAATTCACTCAGTCATGCTGTGGAGCTGGTTTACAAAGAATCTATCTAAAAGAAACACGAACACCAGAAACTCATCAAAAAGATCTTGCTAGGGAATAATCGTTCTTGAGGTGCGAACAGCATGCTGTAAAACTAATATAAAGGTGCGGGAGAATTGATGAAACTATGCAAATGGATTATTGATATCAATAACGAACATATGGTGTTTTAGAAAAAGAAAATCAAACGTTTTTCAAAAATATAAACTCTTTACAAGCGAGAGGCCAAAAAATGTAAAATATCGATCGATTATAGAACCGATGTTCGTCATGTAGAAGGTAGCGAATCATTTTCATTGTAACTTATCTTAATTGAAGAGTGGCGGCTTGAATCAGAACCTCACTTTTCACGAAAGATGTCGTCTTCCGACTGTTTTGTAGACGCTGTTTTTGGCTGCAAATTGTTACAGGAAATTTCTTGAAAAGTAGAATTTCTATTAACATGAATACGAGATTTTTACTATGGATAGTCCCGAAAAACATCTGTATATCAAGTCAGTAGAGTCACCCAGTGATAAACGAAAGTTCTCTTGTTCGAATCTGTAGTATAATTTAGTGTGAGAAAAAATAAAATTAGCCATGATTTGAATAAACAGAGAGAAAAGATGTACTAATTTCGTGTACTTTTTTATTCCTTTGCAACTCAGATTCATTGAATGTTTTCAATTTAAATAAATATACAATTGGATTTTTCCTTGCACTTTTTTACACACGCTATGATCGACGAGATGTCCGCCGTTCCACTCCACACTATAGAGGAAGCCCTAATATCTCGTCTACCATAACTTGTGCAAAAAAAATAAAAACAGGAAAAATCCAATTGTATGTTTGTTTAAATTTAAATATTTTTTCAATGGATTAGAGTTGTAAAAAACAAACAAATGTACGAAGTAAGCACTACTTTTCCATCTGTACCGGAGTTGTACTAGACTCAGATAGCAGCCGAATGAGATCATCAAGCATACTGAATTGGATCAACGGCATTCGATAGAAAAAATTCTTCCTCTTTCTCTTCCAAAGCTTTTACATGTACGCTGTAAAAACAGTAACGGCAAAAACATAAAAAGTCGCAGTAAAAACGTGGCATCATGAAAACTAATGTCGCGTTTTAACTGTGATTTTATATATATTTTGTTAACGTTTTTTCTGTAGCAATGTCACATCCTAATGACATCTAAAAACGGATTTTCCGTGACATCACTTTGCATTAGTTAAAATAGACCAATGAGGTGAAGATAATGTCATATTTTTCCCGTTACATGTCACGGTAACTTTGAAAAAAGAAACGTCCGTGGTATTTTTACCTACTTTTCTCTTAATCCCATAAAAAAGTTCGTTTGATCATTGAGTAAGGTTCGTGAAGTATGTAATCATGGGCTTTTCAACCTGAAAGTTGTCAGTCAGATCTGTAATTTTTCACGCACTTTAATCCATATTTTCACGGAAAAAAAGAAAATGTTGGGAAAATTTGACCGTTGCGGTCAGATAACTTTTATTTTACTCTTACTGTACAGTTTATAATTGTTAAGGAAGCTTATAGAAAACGAACAAAAAAGTAAAAATTCATCGTAATAAAACAAAAATAAAAATAAAAATTTAGACCTCTTCGGCGATCTTGGCGTCAGCTAGGTTCAGTCTTGAAATTCCTTGGAGCAAAAACAATAAAAACAACTTTTCTTTAATTTTTTCAACGTAGTTCATAAAATAAGTTACGCAGAACAATAACAATGAAGAAGAAAGTAAAAATCATCGTTTTTGATAACGGCTAATGATTTTTCATGGCTAAATGTTTTTATCTGAGACAAAGGAAAATGGCCGTTATGCAATTTATTAAGTAATGCGGCATTCTAGTATTTGCTTAAAACTACCATAAACCAACTCGTTTGTCTGCCGGTCGGACAAACGGACAGTTGTACCTCTAAGACTAAGACTGTTTATTCACGAAAAATAAGAGAAACAGACAGTTGTACCTCTATGTAATAAAAGGGATTAAGCTAATAAGATTAATCATCATGGCGAAATTAGTCCTGATCAGAAAAAAGCGAAGCGTAAATTTGAAAAAGTGAAGTGGTGTTCTTCATTTTCGAAGTGAAAAACAGAGTAGGAAACGACTTTCACAAAGTGGAACATCACTTTGCTTTCGTAGGGACCACCAATCATTAGAAACACTGTTTAGCATTGTGATGACGCTGAAAATCTGTGATTTGAAACGAAAAAAATGTGACTGCGAAAGTTGACAGCAAAAACGTTGGAAATAACGTTTTTTTCCTGATGTTACGATAAAGCCATTTCATTCAACGTTAAAAAAGTTGAAGCCAACGGTAAAAGTGTGACATCCTGAAAAAGTAACATTTTTAATGTGACTTTGCCACGGATTTTACGTGACTTTTTTTACAGTGTAATTACACATAAAAATTGTCCATTTTGTTCCTATACGTATATAATTCTATTGGTCCACTTTCGCAGAATGATAATGACCCAAATATTTCTTTTCGATTCCTGTAAATACCTAAATTTCCCTATTTAATCCAAGAACTCGCAATTATTTTTTTATTAAACCTGACTTGTTCTATGTTTAGAAAGTCTAGTTTAATGAATTAAATTAGGGAGCTGTCGTAGAGTGCATAACGGTTCTGTTTATCATAAAATAGATTTTATAAGTTTTCCTTCGTTTTTGTTAAGACTAAAACTAGTTTATCCACGAAAAGTGAGAGTCATCAAAACTCCCCGACTAGGCCTCTAATACCAACGACACGAGCCAAACTACAAAATTTGAAATAGGGAAAAAATTTTCTGCTGTCATCAGAATTTCATAACAAGTTTATCAGTATTTTTAAAACAATGTTTTTGTATTCAGAGAGTATGGTACACTTACTTCGGAACTGAAAGTGCTCCTAGTCGATAGTTCATCGCAAACGATACATTTATTAAATAATTTTGAATTTGTATATGTTTTGTAGGTACACACTACGCTAAATAATAAATCATGGCGGGTGAATATGATACAGCAATAACGGTCTTTTCGCCTGATGGTCGTCTATTTCAAGTTGAATATGCTCAAGAAGCTGTGAAAAAAGGTTCAACAGCTGTGGGTGTACGTGGCAAAAATATTGTGGTATTAGGTGTTGAGAAAAAAGCTGTTGCCGTTTTACAAGAAGATCGAACAGTACGAAAAATTTGTGTACTCGATGATCATGTTGCTATGGCATTTGCCGGATTGACAGCTGATGCTCGTGTTTTAATGCATCGTGCGCGAATAGAGTGTCAAAGTCATCGTTTAAATGTTGAAGATCCTGTGACAATTGAATATATCACACGTTATATTGCCGATTTACAACAAAAATATACACAAGGACGAGGAAGAAGACCATTTGGATTATCTACATTAATTGTCGGGTTTGATTATGATGGAATACCCAGATTATATTCGACAGATCCTTCAGGTAAAGATCATGTTCGTCTCTATCTATCATTGAAAAGTAAATATTAAAATAGCTGTCTATCTAATGATGCCTTGTTTAAGTCGTTCTTTGTATTACTGAACGTTTTTGAATGACCTACAGAGAAGAAGATCTTCGACTCGATAATAATGTTTTAACTCTTTTATTCAATTGTAGGTACTTACCATGAATGGAAAGCAAATGCCATCGGTCGCCAAGCTAAAACAGTTCGGGAATATTTAGAAAAAGCTTACACTGAACAAATATATGAATCATCACATGAAACAATTAAATTATGTTTAAGAGCTCTTCTAGAAGTTGTTCAATCTGGTTCAAAAAATGTTGAAATTGCTGTGATGTACAGACATAAACCATTAAAAACATTACAAACGGATGAAGTCGAAAAATATATTGCCGAAATTGAAAAGGAAAATGAATTGGAAGCGGAAAAGAAAAAACAAGCCAGACAACAAATGGGAGGACAAGCCCAATCGACAACTACAGCGTAGAGAAAAGATTAAATGCACATGAAATGTAATTTTAAACAATCTTCATAAAAAAAAATGCTTTTGGTTTCTTTTTTCATTTTGTTTTTGTTGTTCTGCTTTTTTTCTATTTTATGTTCAAATTTTTTTCATATCAGACAAGATTTACAAAAAAAAAAACTAGTAAAATCTCTAAATATTGAATAATTATTTTATTCACTGTAAACTACATACTACACAGCTAAATCTGGTCGGTTATGAATAGATTATCTCAATTTTCATCCATATATCATCGAATAAAAAAAAAAGCGACTCTCGTTCGGTATTTACAATGGTTTAACAAGTATTTTATCTCGTTTATTTATTTTAGATCTTTCATTCTAAATACACGTATCTTTTTTTAAAAAGATTGCAGATTTAAGTGTCGTTCCGATTGTTCTGTCTTTTAGGCAGAAAAAAAAGCCTACATTCAAACAAAGAATACAAAAATTGAAATAATCAGCAGGTGAACACTTTTTCATACTATCAAAAAGTCTAACTCTTTCTAATTGTTTATTTTTTATTATTTTTATTTTTTAGTTGAATGGCATTGTTAGATAATGATGGAATTAATTTATTACAAGCACTTTTAACAACAAATTCTATATCATCAATAACACCATTATCTGGTGCATTAGGCATACCAGCTGATCGAATTTATTTTATTTGTCAACGTTATCCACAAATATTTTTTCGTTTAAACGCTGAGCCAGAAGATCGTATTGCATGTATACTTGATTTATCAACATGTACATTTTATTCAAAACGTGGACCCGGATGTCAAAAACAAAATTGTTCGTATCTTCATTTATGTTCATCAGTTATATTACCAAATAGACGATGTAGAATAACAAATTGTCCTTTGAGTCATGATTTATATACAGAACATAATCGTCGTATACTTAGTGAACGTGGCTTAGATAATCTTCCACAAAATGTCATTATTATGTTGATATTATCATCAGCTGATCCAAATAAAACGGTATACACAACGTTAATAGCTCATTCGTTTGCGTATTTTTTTCTCTTTTTCATTGATCTAAATATTGAAAGAGATAAAACTGTTTCTTTCATGATTTCAAATAAGTATCTCGATTAGAGTGGAAAAGCGAATATCTTATGGAAAAAGTTTAACGTATCTATTTGAGTTATTTCTAAATATATTGTATAGTTTTACGAATAGAAAATTATTTTTTAACTTACATTGTTAAAGTTGAAAATGTTTAAAATCTCTATTTATTTGCAATCAGCAAGAAAATATATTGCTTTTCTAGTATTTATTTGTCTGTTCTCTATTTTCTAGTTTATGATATGTCATCGAAAACCGAAACCTTGTCAAGTATGTAGTCTATTTTTATATTATCTCACTGATTCACGATAATTGTTATGTTTGTGATTTTTAGGATCAAGATTGTTTTAAATTACATTTTTGTTATTTTTATCTATTAAATCCTACGTCATGTAAATTTGACAATTGTCGTGCTGGTCACCAATTGACAAGCCAACGAAATGCCGATTATTTGGATAAACGTGGTTTAAAATATATTAATGCACAAGACGTTTTACAATTATTTCGAGCAGTTGATGATCAAAAGTAAGTGAAAATAATTGAGCATTTAGAAAATGTCGAGGCTACTTGGATAATTGATCAAGAGCAACCTTAGTAACGATGAATGTGTTCGCGGTAAAGTGTAACGAAAGGATGTACGTTTTATTGATTAAAAATAAAACTACGAAAGGAAATCTTGCTTTTTGAATAGTAGAAAAATAATTTATCACTTTCTAATCATTTATCAAACTGAAAAATCTAGTTTATCTTCTACTTTACAAAAAAACAAAACGATTTGTTGCTCTTGAGTCCCGATTCACCCTATCATTATGTGACCATCATATTAACTTAGATTTTCACCAATTATGTGTATTAAAAAGTGCACTTGTAATGTTTATTTTTCATTTTTCTTTAGAAAACGTTCTCATTCGATGAATAATGCTGATGACGAATATCAACAACAACAACAGCCTTATGCTCAATTAGTTACAGTTGCTGCACTCGGTGCAAACACTTATCAACAATTGTTAAGTACATATTATCAATTGCAAACTTGAAAAAACCACTAGCTGTGATCATTATTTTTTTTTCCATTAGAAAAAGATAAGAATGTTGTTGTTTTTTCTCTATTATTTGTTTTTCATTTATTTATTGTTTTTTCTTTTAAAATGAAAAAAAACTTACTTTAATAAACATTTCGATTGCCTTTTTTAAAGGAATATTATGAAGAAAAGAAAAGAATATTTATTTTAAATCTAGATAGACAAGCAAAAATACATATTGTTATGTTCTTTTTTTCTCCTCTGCTGTCGTTTTATAACTATGCAAAAAAAAAGTTTGAGTTACATTTTAACAGGATATTTTCTTTGTTTTCGAGTTTAATATCAACACTTATTGTATGTTATCGTTTCTACTTTCAAACTATATACACATTCACATATATCTACATCTACACACACACACGCATCCACACACATCCACATCCACACACACACAATATTTTAGAATGGTACTCATCTATTTAAACTATTTGCCTATTTTTTGGTGCGTTATTTTCACGTTTTCTATTTGGTTGGTTGATAATTTTGGTCTGATGTATATGATGATTTTTTTAATTGTTGTTGTTGTTATTGTCTTTTTTGTTTTACTTTTTTAAAACTAACAAAATGAGAAGTAGTAATGGTGAAGAATAAAAACGAATTTTTTTGGATTAGCCGTTTTGTATAATCATTAATCTTAGTTACTACGACTACTACTGAAGTTTTCTCTCTCGCATTTGAAGAAACAAGAAAAAAATAGATGTTTCATTGCTGAAGAAGAGACACATGAAACCAGGCAGATCACATGTCCAACTTTCTTTCTTTTGTTTTGTGTGTCTGATACTCGACTAGAACAGAGAGATTAGGTAAATAATCGTTTTGTAAACGATCCATATATTCTGTGACTTCAAACAGAGTCATTTTTCACTAAAATTTGAGTGAACAATGATATAGTAGCGATGTATTATAACGGCAGGACTCCATCAGATACAATCGTGAAATAAACTAATAGTTCATCTATAGTAACAGTCGTTTCATGCACCAACGAGCCACCGAGCCAAATAAAAAATTTTTAATTTCATTTAAGATTATTCCTTCAAATAATAGATTATAAAATATGAAAACAAAATATTAAATTCCATTTAATCTTAGTTTAATCCTAAAACTTTTGTCCAATGACGTTGTTTCTTTCAAAAACTATGAATTATTTCTTCTTAGACTTGAGCTACACAAAATATTTGAAAAAATACCGAAATTTGAATACAGGCAATTGTTGTTTAGAGATATAAATTAAGAAACTTTAAATAGAAAACAGATTCACCTATTAGTTTTAAACAAAAAAGATGATATAATTATTAATCAAACTTTAGTAGAACATACGAATGTTCCTGCTAATTAAAAAGGAAACGAGATTAAGCAAAAATCGTTAGCTTATTTTCTTCATCCATTATTGATAAACGTTTAAATAATCAAACGTTAACGAACGTGTATCGATTATTTAAACAAATCCACCGATGTCTTCAAGATTTAAGACATAAAAGTTATATGAAAAGAGAAGAAGCCAGAAAAGGAATGCTTTGCAATGTCTAATAATCGAAGATTAAAAATTTCATGTGTTTTTGAAATGAGACTTAGAATTTCTTATGTTTTCTTTCTTTTTCATTATTTTTAGAATTTTTCTTTCACATTTTATTTGGACGAATGGAGGAATTGTATGAAATTATCAAACATTTACTTTCAACAAAAAATTCAATTGATGATATTGATAAAATTAGTGATAGTATTCAAATAGATAAAGACGAAATAACTAAAATGATTACACATGATGAATATAAGGATTATTTCCAATTATTACACCAAAATACACAAAAAAATCCCAATAGTTCGCTTAAAATAGCTCTTACTCTTGATGTAATTTATAGACACAATTGTTAATAATGTTCACTATAAATATTTCTTATATACGTTTAGCTATTTACATGTACCCATTATGCAATCGATTGTAAAAAAAATGATTGTCCATTTCTTCATTTATGCCCATACAATGTAAGACCACAGCATGAGAAATGTACAAATAAAAGTTGTCCGTTTGAACATGATATTAAAAAAAGTGAACATAATAAAACAATCATAAAAAGAAGACATTTAGCGAAGTTTCCAGCTGAACTATTACAAGCAATTGTTCGAGCATCAAATGATCCAGAACGATCGGTAAGAAAAATAAAAGTTTTTAAAGGCAAAAATGGATAGATTGTTAGGGACTGCTAAATTTATACGTTGTGTATTGACTAGAGTTGCCAGATGGCTAAATTCCGTCTGATATTTTGCGGATAAATTCCGCTTTCTGTAGTTTTTTCCGCAAAGTGTCCGCTGTCCGCTTTTCGAGGATTTGCTCTATTTCCTGCAATGAAGATTTTTACATTTTCTCATAAAAAGCTTGACGCCTTCAGCGGCTGAATGATCTGCCAGGACAATACTTTTGCAACTTTCTATAAAAGTGCACTGTTCTAGGAAAACTCAATCAGAAATTTGCCCCGGAAGTGAGCGATAACACAAAAACATTAGTGCTGCTGTAAGGGAGTATGAAAAATAGTGAATATTTTGGATATCTTGAAAGTTTATTTTATGCTCAAGAAAACATCTCGTAACAAAGGAAAGCACAAAAAACCAAAGGCTTGTAAATAAAGTGCCACCACGCGGAAAAGAGAACAACCGCGAAAAGAGTGAGATACTAAATCTTCAAGGAAGACAACTCGGTCAGAAAATGTTAACCATTAAGTGCTGTTGTAAAAAAAAAGTTTCGAATTAAATTTTATCCTGTCATGCATAACTCTTGAAATTTATGACGGCTGATCAAAAACGCGGATCCACAAAAACCCAATAGCAATTCAAATTGGGATTTAAATGATGTTTTGTACTTCTTTTGTGTTTCTTAAGTGGAACGGCCATAAAGCGCTAGATAAAATTTTTTTTGATACCCCTTTGTTTGGTGAAAAATGCGTTTCCGCTTGTATTCCACATTTTGGAAAAATAATTCCGCTTTTTTCCGCTTTTTCACATTTTTATTCCACTTTTCTGACCTAAGTATCTGGCAAATCTGGTACTGACTGATGCAAACAGCATTACTATATTTAAAGAGAGACTTTCCAAAAGTCTAAGCGTACACACACCTAGCTTTGCTTATTACGAAAAATGTTTTCCTGATTTTCTGATAGTATGAATGGTAGATTACTCTTCTTTTTTTCTAAGTAAAGATCTTTTTTGATTGTTTCTCTTTTTTATAGTTTTGGGTCTGTCAAGACTATGGACGAAAAGGTGGTTGTCCAAAAAGACATAATTGTGACAAGTAGATAACCTAAAATTTAGTTATATTAACGTTTATCTACGTTTATTATTTTTTTTGTTCTAGACTTCATTATTGTTTTTTTGGACTAACCGATCAGTGTACAAAGTCACATAATCAGTGCGATCATTCATTGAATCCAGACTGTATGAATTATTTAAGACGAAAACAAATGCATAATTCAGATGAAACGGATATTTTAGACGCATTTAGAAAAGTTGCCAAACAACGGTAATTTATAACTTTTGTTAGAAAGAATAAAACTGTAGTATTATTCGTATTGTATTAAAGAAATCTGAAATATCTATCAACATTGGCTCAACAGTCACATACCTCAGGAACAGCAACAGCCATTTCCAACAAATCTGCGTTTTCAATCTCATCACAAGAAGCAACAACAAATCGGTGAGCAAGTAGCCAACAACCATAAATACAAAAATCTTAGGAAATCTTTATGCAATTTAGACAACCTGTAAAACTTTTATAAACATTGTAGAAGAGCTCCATCTCTAATAGTGTTAGTTTATTTATAACTGTTGACTCAGTATGTGAGACGCATACGACTTGTATATAAGTATTAAGCACAATTTAGATCTGAAAAATCTTTTATTAATTTTAGAAATGAATCATTTGTTGTTCGACCGACGGCCACAAATTTTCAAAGAAAACCTAAACCTTCAGCACAAAACAACGTTCCATCTAATAATCGTATGGAACGATTTTTATCCGAAACTGAACCACCGCAATCACCTCTGGATAATGAAATTGAAGTCGAAACAGATGAAGATAATTGTATAGAGAGTTTATATACTCCGGCTGATTATGATAAAATTGAAAAAAAATTATCGGCAGAACTTAATTGTCCGTGTAAAGTTTGTCTAGTCAAAAAAGTTTCAAACAAGACAAAACAAATTCACTTTGAACTGTATGTATTTTGTATCTTTACTTTAATGTACTATAGAATTGAGAAATAGATGAGACGTAAAATTTTTCCTGACATACATTACAAAGTGTTCAAGTAACAAAATTCATTTTATAGTGATTTTTTGAAATTTAGAAACGAAATTGCATAAAATTACTTCGTTATATTGTTGTTCTAGTGCTTTATCTCAACAGACAGATGAAAAAGCAAGTAAGTTGAATGTGACTACGACATATTGTCCAATTGAAAAGTCAAGTGATATTTTGGATTATATACGTTGGCAAAATCCATGTCAAACACCAAAATTCAATTCTGTACTGCTATATTTAAATATTCAAGATGCTCATGATAGAGCAAAACAACAGAACAATGATCAATTTTGTTTATTACGTGGAAGAGTATTAGACGCCACAAAATGTGAAAAAATTAAAGATCAACTAAAAGTTACAGATCCTAAATCGATCATATTCGAAGAATTATGGTTGTATAAATTCGATTTTTAAAATTTAGTCGATAAACTATCGAACGATGTGATAGCAGTGATTTCTCTAATTCTTGTAAGAACTTTGAAAGTTTTGTTAATTGATTTTTTTTTTGCATGATTTCAATTTTACGATTGACGATCTATTAAAAATTTTGGTTTATTTATCTGCTGATATTAATAACGGTAGTTGAGTTAACTTTTGAATAGTAGTCAAATTTCAAAACTTCTCTATTATCTGTTAAACATCAAAGATTATTAAACAGTTTTCTTTTTCTTTGCATCAATCACAATTTTTTGTAAACTTATGCATCATCTTACAGTTGAATGTATTTTGTTGTATGCAAATTACTGGCTATTCTTGCTTTGTGCTTGCTCTACGTTCTCATCGTTAATCATGATATTTTTTCTCTTTTTTCTGCAATTTGGTTGTATGTATATGTATATACTCTGTTAAGAACACTCTTAATCAAGAAATAGTGAATAGTAGAAGTCAAATGGATACATTTACTTATCGAATTGAATCAAAAAAGGGACACTTTATCTCTACTTTCTGTCATGGTTTTCACTTAACTTTAAAATCACTACATGTTTTTAATAATTTTAGAATGAATACTTGTATAGGTTGAAACTACTAGAGTAAAAATATACCGAATATTTTGTCTTTATTTGAATTTCTATTGCAATAATTAATATATATCGAGTGTAATTTATTTGGAATTTACCAACGAACAAAAAGCGGATCGTATGTCGTCTCGTCTCTACTCATAAAACAAAAAAAAAAAACCCAAACAAACAAGTACTTTTTTTAAAAGGAAAAAAACCATTATCTTTTGTCTAATACAGAAGTCAAACGGTTAAACACAAACAATCTTTAAATCATGCAATTTATGCTTTAATTTTTCTTTATAATAGATATGTGTGATTGTTGCTAAAAAATAAAAAAAAAATGAAACAGAAAATTGAAATATATATATGTTTAATTATGTACAAATACAATTGCCGAGTTCTGTTCGCCATGTAGAAGAAGAAGAATAAAAAAACATTGAGAAACGTAATAAAAGAGAAATAGAATACTGTACAAAATAGAAACACGATGTATATATATATATATATATATCGATCTACTATAGATATAAATATTATGATCTCTATGTACAAACAACCAAACGTTCACTGTTTGATGAAAGTAGATGAAAAGAGAAAACTGTTTGTCGCACTCCATTCATGAAAAGGAACAGACAATAAAAGATTTGATTGTGCCAATAGAAACAAAAAAAAAACAAAACATTTTAGACTAAAAAAAGAAATGTTTTCCACGTTATCAACCGGTTGTCTCATCGTGTATGATTGAGGACGGAAGTTCGAAAGGATTTGTCCATTGGTCAAACAATAATACAGCATGTAGCAGGACACGATATGCATGATGTGCAAATGCATGGACATACGTGTCGTCCACGACCGGTTGGTGTTGGAGTTCGTGGAGTAAAATATGCATGAATGTTCAATTCTGGATAACGTGTCTAGCAAGAAAAAAACAAAATTGAATTGAAAACAAAAAAACTGTTGAGTATATTTCACAGTAGCCGCTTGAAAAGCAGTTCGTATATTTTACAATAAACGATAATTTTAACAAGTCAGTAGTGTTTCTTACTTGAATTTTTTTGACTGCATTTTTTGTTATTTGCTGACAATCGAATACATCTAATCGTTTTAGACTTCGACATGTTAATAAATGATCGATTGAACTATCAGTTATTGACGGACAATTATCCAATTCTAATACACGTAAATTTTCAACTGCAAATGTACTCGAACCAAGATATCTTACACCTTCATCTGTTATCTGCTCGCAGCGGGATAATGTCTAAATATAAAGAATGAGAGAAATGATTGGTTGTTTTGAGAGAGAGAGTGTGTAAATACGCACAAGAATATGAAGGTTAGGACAGTTGTCGGCAAGATGTTTTAATGTATCATCGGTTATCTAAAATAGGCGTATGAATACAACTTTAATTCTTATGTGAGGTTTGACTTAGACTTACAGTAGTACAATCTTCAAGATCAAGCTTTTCTAATAAATGGCAACCCTGTCACAAAACAATCGTATTAATTTTATTCGTTCGTTTTAACGAACACAAAAGCTTACTTGAGCCAAAACTAAAAATCCAGCATCTGATAGTTGTGCACATAAAGTTGCATCAAGTTGTCTAAACGAAAATAAATGGAAGTTAATAACAAAAGAGCAATAATAAATTCAGATTCTCAAGGCTACATCAGTTTCAAAACTATTAATTTTTACCAGCTTTCAATGTTAAAGTTACATCACTAATTAGATTACAAATTGACAATAGATATTTTAGTCTATAAATAAACTATAGGGTACAATTTTTTCTTTATGTTTTCAACATTTTGGAGTTGGAGCTCCCATATCATCTCGTACTCTTGCAGTAGATGCCAATGATTGTTTCTTTTGTAGTAAAACAACAGCAATGTAAAAGTTTGGATGTGGAGAATTTAAATGTTTTTTCATTCGAGAATGTCGACCTTCCAAATAGTTAATTGTTCGCGGTGTTATATTACGATAATGGTTATACATATGTGATGGAAATCGACTGAAAATGATCCATACGTATTATGATAATAATCAAGAAATCCTTGAATTTCTGGATAATCTGGCCTAGTACGAATAAGACACTGTAAACCCCACATAAGAATTAAAGTTGTATTCATACGCCTATTTTAGATAACCGATGATACATTAAAACATCTTGCCGACAACTGTCCTAACCTTCATATTCTTGTGCGTATTTACACACTCTCTCTCTCAAAACAACNTTTAATGATATTATACGCAAAATCTGCAAAAGAGCTCCCATATCATCTCCTACTCTTGCAGTTGATGCCAATGATTGTTTCTTTTGTAGTAAAGCAATAGCAGTGTAAAAGTTTGGATGTGGAGAATTTACATGTTAATTTACTTTTTAAACCCAGATCAACAAATTTATGAATAGACTTTGACCTTTATGAAATAAACAACCACTAACAATAACATTTGGGTAATACTTTAAAAATATATAGTTATGAGGTTACGAACGATTACAACTGATTCTGAAGTAGGTGTTTCTAATGTATT